TCCTTTTTTTGGTGGGCGGGGAGGCGCCGGGGGGGAGGGGCGCAACAACGTTAATTTTTTATTCTCCCCTTTTATGTCGCTTTGAATCTAAAGTCGTGAGGTTTAAGATTTCTTTTATTACATTCAAGTTAACTACCTTTAAATCCATATTGTACTTGTCCGTAATGAAAATGAAATATTATCATTTTTACTTGCCTTTTTTTTTTATAAAGAAAAATAATTAAAAGATAATTTTTTATATAATATTTTATATTATTTAATATTTATTTTTTTATTTTATTAAAACACATAACATTATATGTATTTATTTATTTAATAATATATAAAAATTTTATAAATAATTTAATTATATATCATTACCCTTGGATAAATTACTACTAATATACTTTTAATTCTTTTGGTCCATATCTTTTTGCATTTAAACTTTTAAAGCTTAGGTTTTGCCAAGATTTAATTAGAAAAAAAATTAAAACAATATATTAAATGAATGAATTTTTTAGGTTAAAACCTCATTTTGATCCCTGAATTATTGTACGGACCCCCGATTTTGTTTTTAAACTAAAAAAATCCATGATTTAGTCCATACTGTTTGCTATTTTTATCTCGATTTAGTTTTTCCGTTAAAAATCTTGTGACGTGGCATATTATTTCACGATTACAAGACGACATGTCGAATATTAATACATATGGAAGATAATATAACAAAAAAGTGATGATATGGAAAAAATAATAATATAAAAAAATATTATGAAAAATAAAATTTAAATTTTTTTTTCTTTTTTTTCTTTTCCCTTTCCTTTCTCTTTCCCCTTGAAACCCAACAGGCTTAGGTTCCTTCGAACCCACCCAGGCGTTGGGTTCCTTACGAACCCAGGCGCTGGGTTTGCAAGGAACCGAACCCAACACGCTTGCTTGGGTTTGCACCAAACCCAGCATGCTTGCTTGGGTTTGCACCAAACCCATCACACTTGCTTGGGTTCAATGGAACCCAGGAGCTGGGTTTGCAAGGAACCCAACACGCTTGCTTGGGTTCGGTGGAACCCAGGAGCTGGGTTTGCAAGGAACCCAACACGCTTAAGTTCGGTTCCTTGCGAACCCAGCGCTTGGGTTCGCGTCTGGGTTCCTTGCGAACCCAACGCTTGGGTTCCACCAAACCCAGGTGCAAAAATTTTATTAAAAAAAAAAATTATGCTTTTGTTTTTTGGATTTTGTTGTTTGATTGTGATGAAAAATTGATTGGTGAAGATGAAGAAGGCAAGGCAAGGCAATTGCTCGGTTACTACAGGTGTTGGGTTCGACGTTGGGTTCGATTTTGAACGCAGCAGCTCTTGGGTTCAATTTCGAACCTAGCAGCCGCTAGGTTTTTGTAGGTGCTGGGTTCCAAATTGAACCCAGCATGCGATGAGTTTCATTTCAAACCCAATAGTTGTTGGGTCAGTGGAACCTAGCAGTTGCTAGGTTTGAGCAGCCGCTTGGTTCAAGTTGTCGTTGGGTTCGAGCAGCTGCTGGGTTCCTGCAAGTGAGGTTCTGGGTTTCATTTCGAACCCAATAGTCATTGGGTCAAAGATCCATTCAGTTTAATCTATTGATTTATTGTGTTATCCTCAAAATTAATATTAAGAGTTAGAGTTTGCAGAAGGTGAAAGGAAAGGGAGAGGAAGAAGAAAGGGAAAAAGGAAAAACAAATGAAGAAAAAAAAAAGAAAAAGAAAATTTTTAAGGTTTTTTTCTTGTCATCTCATTTTTTTTGTCACGCTGTACATCCTAGGTGTCAAAATGCTTTTACATATCATCCTTTTCCTGTCAAGTAACGGGACACGTAGGTTGATATTTAACAGAAGGACCAAATCATGGTAAAAATGGTAAACAATAGAGATTAAATCAATGATTTTTTTAGTTTAGAAACCAAATTGGGAGTCGTACAATAGTTCAGAGTCTAAAATGGAGTTTTAACCAATTTTTTAAGTTGTGCCTGTTAATACTATTTTTATTATAAATTAATATAAAAATTATAAAAATTATATTAATTTTACTATTAGTATTAAATAAATAAATTTAATTAAACAGTTAGAGAATTAAAAATTAATTTTTATTTTTTAATACAAATTTATTATAAAAATATATTTATTATATTTTTAATGACTTAAGTTATACTTTAAAGAAATATATTAAAAAAAATCTTAAATGAATAAGAATAAGAATAGTAATAATAATAAAACCATGAGATGGATGTAATTAAATTTAGAGTTCAAATGTTAGGATCAGTATCTAAAAAAAATTAATTTCTTAAGTGTACTAAAATATTATAGAGGTACATCTTTAATATTCACTAAGAAAAATTAATATTAAAGTGCGAAAAAGGAGGTATGAGGACACCCTAATCTTAAAGAATAATAAATAAATAAAGGAGTAATAATAAGATCATAACAAAATTGGCACCTGACTCAGAAGGATCACCTTAAAGGTGCAGTCCCTCTTCCTCGGGTAGGTTCGAAGTTCGAATCCCACTCTTGTTACTTTAAAAAAAAAAAAAAAAAAAGATCATAACAAAATTGGGCCAGACGGGAATATTTTTGGGCCAGAAATGCAGAGAGCTAGTTTAATTAATTTAAGGCTCCAACGTGAGGCCCAAAAGTTCTCTGGTTTCACTTTCTTCATCAGGACTAGACATTGGCTGGAGTATTGAGGAACAAAAAATTCCCTAATTCCTTTAGGGCCAAGGCGCTAAGAAGATGAATTTTCTTTTGCTCATTTGAATAGAGGAAGTAGTGAAATAAAAATTAGCCGAAGCAAAAAATGATAATAATAATAATAACAGAAAGAAAAGGCATTCAACTGATACAGAATATATTCATCCTAACAGTAACAGATATTCTTTTAATTTTTCTCCATTTTCTGCATGAGGTGTAACCGTGTAAGGCATTTTCAAACTCACTAATTATTAAATGGGAAAAAATATTGAGTATTCACATGTGAATAGAAAGAATTTTATATTGAGAATAAAAAGTAAAAAGTAAGTAGTTTATATGTAAAAATCTACGAAAATATAACAGGTTAGTTTCTTAAATTTAAAATAATAATGTCTTCATATATGGGACTTTTATTCAAGTATTGTTATCAACCCAATTGCTCAATCCAACAAGAATGGTGCCCTGCACTTTATTTCGTTTGGTAAACCAATAAACCAATTAAAAGGAACAAATTAACCAATAATTGTGAACCTCTACTTCAATTCATGGCTTATATATGCAAGCTTTATATTTCATTTTTTAAGCATAAGGGTGATTATCAAAATCATAGATATAAAGAGGAAGACCTATAGAGTCACTAGTCAAACTATTAGCAGAAAGATACTTCATCACTCGAATGCGCAGGCTCATTCTCCCTTTTTGTCCCTTTTTTCATGAAAGTTTCAATTAATTAGTATGTCCAATAAAAAAAAAAAATCATAAGTATAAAAAGAATAATTATTGAAATACTTCATTGTGACTAATTAAATCT